CCTGGTCTCGGTGACAGCTTGCAGAGGTGGCAGAGACGGGTTGCTACTGATGATGCCCCAGAGCGGACTGTAGTTGAGCTCTTGGGATGTCCTGATGCTCAGACAGCATAGTGCCTGTGTCTCAGTCCGCCCTTGAACAAAAAAGGACCTGTGGACTGCAGTGCATTTTTCTACTGCGCATGACTTGCTGGGACCGTTGTCGCTGCTGCTACACCGCTGCTGTAGTTTTGGTTCTTTTTTCTTTTTCATTTTTTTTTCTCTTTATTATTATTTTTTTTTTTGCAGTGCCTGGCTACTATTTTTCAGGGTCTGACTATTTTATCCCTTTACACCACCACTACTCTTGAAGTTGCTGCTACTGCGGGCTGAGCACGGGCTACTAGGGTCTGCTGCATGTGGATGCAGGCTACCGCGGCTACTGTTACTGCTGGGGGCCGCTGTATATTACTGCTATTTCCGTGGATCGCCGTCGTGTACAGTGGTTGTGGTCGCTAGTTACCACTGCACACTGCTGCCGTTGTTGCTACGACTGTTGACTGCGCACAGCCTACTGTTGTTGTTGCCTGGTCACTACTGTGTGCGAACTACTGTTGCTGTCGCCTGGCCTCCACTACATGCTGCTACGATTGACCGTTGCTGCTGCATCAGAGGGGACCCACAACTGCGTTTGGGTTGCCACGGAGTAACCAATCTCGCTGTTGCACTTAAAAACTGTGGGCGGACTGTGGCCGCTGTGTACCACTACCAATGACTGTGGGCTGCTGCACGTTGCTATGTGCTACTGCTGTGGACGGGACGCAGGCTGCTGGTTTTAAGTAACCCCCACTGAGTACTCTTGATACAACGGACTGGGCGAAGACCGCTGCTGAGGACTACCGCTGAGACTGGGCGAGGCTGCGGTTGTGGGTGGCGGCTACTGCTGCTGTTAACCTCCACTGTGTATTGCCACAGTATCTGAGGGTCAGGGCATAGTGTTGGGCAACTGCAGTTGGACTTAGAGGAGTAGTTGAGCTTAGGGTGGGGACCTGGCCCTGCGAGTTGGAAGACCGCCAGGGGAGGTTACTTCGGCAATCTGGCTTCATTGGTCAAGCTGTCGGATTGGCTGTCAGGCTGAGGACCAAGACATGTTCCATAAGTTTGGGTGGTCTTGGTCCAACACCTCGCACATGCTGGAACCGAAAGGCTATAACTTTGATATACTTTGCTATTATGTTATCTATGAACAAGTTAGTCGGGCAGGGTTCCATAAGTTTGGGTGGCCTGACTATAGCTTATCACCAACTGAAGAGAGTACTTAACGAAGAATAAACCTGTGGTACGAAGGGGCAGGCTGCGTCTTGAGCTGAAGATGATCGACTCAGCTATATGCTACCTCAAAAGACTAAGTACAGACAATTACATAAACCTTGGATACCTAAACAGTTCAGGGCGATTAGGATGGCATGGTCATATGCCCAAAGAAGAGAAAAGTTGTTGTGCCATGTGTCTGTGTATACTTCTTGGCTGGGCTAGACATGTTCCATAAGTTTGGGTGGTCTAGCCTTATGCCCTATGTGAGTTGGGTATAAGGGACAAATTATTGAAAGGCTATGAACTATTGTTTGCTAAGGTAACTTGGGGATAGTGAGAGAGTGCATGTTTGTGGTTTGGCCTGCATGTGACTGAGTGATGCCTCTTCTTAGTCCGAGTTTGGGTTTTGATAGGTAGTTGTTGTAGTTGCTCGCCACGTGCTAGAGCCTTAAGAGTTAGAGTCAATTCCTGCATTTTCCGGGCTCGTTTCTTTTTACTTAGGTCGATTTCTGCATAGTTTCTGGGATCTTTTTCATACTTGGTCTTGTATAAATCTTGGTAAGCCATTTTTCCTTCGGGAAGCGCTGCCGAAATTTTTAGAAAATCAAGGAGTTAGTCAAGACTTTGACTTCTTCAGGATCCGACCTTGATGACTTTTTGACTTAGTAAGAATCTGGGGAGCCTCCTTTTCTAAAGGAGATGCTGCCAAAATATTTACTAATTCAGGGTGTTAGTCAAAATTGGGCCCTGAGGGATCAAAGTCATTTTCAGATTCCAAACCTAGCTTTGTATAAATCTTGGACTAACGCTTTCTCTACGGGAAGCGCTGCCGAAGTTTCTACAATTCTAAGGGATTGGTTAAGAGTTTGCCTTGACAGAACTTAGACTTTATGGCTAAGTTCAATTCTGATTTAGTATAAATCTGGGAAGCCTTCCTCCCTGAAGGAAGTGCTGCCCAAATTTTTGCTAAGTCAGGGAGTTAGACAAATTTTTGCTTTCTGGAATTCCAAGGTCTGACTTTTGGACTAGTATATTTTTTGCGATGGCACTTTTCCTACGAGAAGCGCTGCCGAAATTTTCCTAAATTAGAGGAGTTAGCCTATATTTGGATAAGTGATGACCTATGTAGGGGAGACTACGACGAGATTCACCTTACGCTGAGTGCTATCTAGGGATGGACATAGACTTGGTTAGATATGACGACTCGAGTAAGGTCAGGAGGTGAAGGTTACTCTCCCTGAGCGAGTAGACTTAGTTTGGGATTGGTCTGGCTTGTGTTACAGGTTTCTTTTATCAAGTCGCTTCAGGACGTGGGCTGGACCCAGGTTGATCCTATTAATATCACCTTCTGTTATCACAGATAACAGGTCGGTTGCCGACTCGTCGGTTTACGACTCAACCTCAACGCACTCTCCTTACTCAACCTAAAGAGGCTTCAGCCCTGGTGATCTTCTCTGTTTTGTTAAGGTTTCACCCAGACTTTTATTGAATGGACATTGAACAAAGGTACTGAGTATTTACTTAAGGTTGGTTGGTTGGAGGTCGGGGCTTGCATGGCTGAGGCAAAGGGTATGAGCATAGAGATTGGTTGGAGTTGACTCCGTGTAGTGCTTGGACTTCTGTGTTGACTATTTGATATGATTACAGGTATGTTCTGTGAATTGGATTATTGGATTGGACTGCCCTGCGATCTCGTATATGTGCATGAGGAGACCCACTGTGATTGTGAGATGTGATCGTCACACGTTCATTCCCATATGTGTATATATGTGTGTATATGTGTATGTATGCGTACCTATGTAGGGTACTTGTGTGGTCTGTAGGGTCCGTGTGCTAGGGACCTAATCCAGGGTTGGAATGAATAGAAAGGAGGGAATGACCCCTCTATTTATATATATGCTTCCTTGTTAGGGTTTATTTTTGTGGAACGATAAATGTGTATATATGTGTATATATGTGTATGTGTGCGTACCTATGTAGGGTACTTTTGTGACCTGTAGGGTCCGTGTGCTAGGGACCTAATCCAGGGTTTGAATGAATAGAAAGGAGGGAATGACCCCTCTATTTATATATATGCTTCCCTGTTGGGGTTTATTTTGGTGGAACGATAAAGTCCCGAGCGGAAGGGTCAGCGTATCGCTGGTGATGCGCCAGACAACTCACCACCGTTGTAAACCCCTTCCCGCCCTAGGGACCGTCTTACCCCGCACCCTTTGGGACACCTCAGTGTGCAGAAGGCGGTAAAGCCCCCAGGCCGGTTTCGCGCCCGCTAAAGGGTTACCCCCTCTTGGCGCGCACGTCAGCCGACGCCTGAGCATCGGAAGCGACCGCATGACTCAGAATAAGCCATTTGGGTACGGGCACCACATAATGCGCCGTCATCGCAGTTACTCACGTAGAGCTGCATAGTGAATTGGTATGCGTGGATCCTACGTTCGAGCGATCTTATACTAAACCTCGTGTACAGCAGTTACCGACTTCCACTGCGTAAAGTTATGGGTTGGATATAAAAGGGACTAGGAGTGTGTCGCGTTGTACGTCCTTCGTGTCGTTCAGTACTTGTGTGCGTGTGCTTTACTTTTATGTACCGTACAATGGTGTGCGCGTGGCGTGTGGGATACGTCCTAGTCGACCGGCGACGAGCCGTGCTTGGGACCTCAGCCCCCCCAAGATGTCGGTTCACGTGCGGGTCCGATAGAGGGGTAGTACCGCGCGTACCCCTTATGCTACAGCGAACGAGAAACGCCCTCGGTTGGTCCACCTCTGCGATTGCAGCTGATCAGCTTTCGTACTGTGGACTGGTAGCTCGGCTGGGATACGCCCACCGAAGGGAGGTAACAGCTCCCGTAAGGTGGAGGTAGTCGTGCCTCGCGTAGGCCCTGTCCTGTCGTAGGGGCTCGCGAGAGGTATGGCTAGCGCACTCGGCCGGAGCGGCTTGCGGAAGCTCCATGTATGTATCGCGACGAGGAATGAGATCCAACTCCTGCGTGACACGGCCGGGAGGGTCCCGCGCTACCCTTAAGTACTGTCGGACCGATGCGCTCGACAGGTGGCGCCGTTGCCGGGGATGACGGTTGCCTGCCGTTGTCCTTGGTGGAACGACATCCAGGTATTAGGACAAGGAAGAAATCAGGCATGAGTGGGAGATTTGAAGTGAGTCTATAAGTAGGGCTATAGGAGAGATTGCATGACTATAGTAACTATGTGGAGAAACTCACAGCTTAGGTAGACCTTGTGAATGTAGGTCTGGGAACGAAAGGGACGTGGGTGTCAGTTAAAGTCTGAAACGCCCAAGGGCTAAGTGGTTAGCTCGATAGACTTATGTTGGAGTGAGAGTGCTGAATAAAGTTGCCTGTGTACCTCGTCTTACTACAGGGAAGTTAAGTGAAGGACAGACTGCTAAAATGACAGGCGGCATAGGCGACAGTTCAGGCAAGGTCCTGACCCTCGATGATCTCATCGAGGCGATGGACAAGCGGGAGAGAACGCCGACAAGTGTCCCCAAAGTCGACACCTTCCATTTCAATGGGGAACGGGTCTCTGAATGGTTGGACCTAGTGGAGCAAGCCTTGGTGGGAGTACCAGACGAGACGAAATTCAAATGCATCCTGCAGTATGTGCTCCATAAGCACCATCCGGAAGTACAGAAGGTGGTCGACGACGCCAACGGCGACTAGGCTAAATTTAAGGAAGGAATGCAACGGAAGTATAGGTTGGGGGATGACCTGCTGACTTGGCGGACCTAAAGGTAATGAATAGGGACGACTTCACCACCATTGGGGCATTCAAGCAAGAATTCAAAAAGAAGGCGAGAAAGGTACATGGGATATCAGAGGAGGCACAGTGCGCCGTCTTATTGGGACTACTCACCGCATCTGAGACAGTTGAGCTAACAAGTCATGGGGGAGGAAATGCCAAACTTACCTGGGCCACCATTGACAGAGGGGTGGAGGTTGGAGGCCTCGACCAGGTCGAGCAGCACCAGGTGAGGCTACAGAGGCAGAAACGGAAGGACAGGGATGCGGCTGGGTCGCCAGGAGTAAAGAAGATCATAACCGACATATTAGCAGGGCTAGACCCGGTGATACAGCGGAAGGTGACGGCGGCAGTCCAGGAAAAAGGCAAGGGGGCCGTGTTAGAGGAGGCTACCCAGGAGGGATGGGAAGAGGAGGAGCCGGTACCTCCACACCTTACGAAGGCGCAGCGTAAGCAGCGCAATCTAGCACAAGGCGGACAAGGGTCAGGAAAGGGTCAGGCGCCTCAAGTAGTGGTAGGGGCATCTCCGAGCTCGTCCGGGCCATCAAGTAGTGTGGGCCCGTCGCAAGCACCAGTGCCACCATTTGGGCACTGGTCGTGGCCCCTAGTTAATACCTATGTACCCTGGGGTGGCCCAGCGCCGTCTGGACAGGTAATACCCTATGCTGGGCCCCAGACAAGTGTGCCACCTCCGAGCTACCCCGCCGCCCAAACTCAGCCAGCGGTACCACCGACGCCAACGCCCGCACAAAGTTCACAAGGCAGTGTGGCGGGTGCTGGTAGTCAAGGCCAAGGGAACCAGGGGAATGGAGAAAGGGGCGGTGGAAGAGGACGTGGCAGGAATGGCGGTGGCCGAGGAGGCCAATGGGGCAACCAAGGTAGCCAAGGCAATCAAGGCGGCCAAGACAACCAAGGGAATCAAGGAGGTGGAAGGGCCCATTTTGACTGGAGAAGTGTCGTATGTCAGCATTGTGGCCAGCATGGCCACACTATTAGGTTTTGCAACATACGGAGAGATGACGAGAAAAATGGACTGATTTATTCTAATATGGATGGGGACATCTACGACCAATTTGGAGATTTTATTGATAGGAAGGCTGGTGGAGTTAGGGCGGAGGCCCAACGAAGGTTGGCAGCACGACAGCCGCCCCCTGCCACGTTCAGGCTATGGCAGGAGAAGGAAGGGCTGCCAGTTGGAGTTGAGGAAGTAGGAAGTGACGAGAAAGTAACCCGGAGGCTACAGGTCGGGGATGCAAGAGAGAAACCCATAATCATCGAGTCGGACGATGAGGATGGCGATGAAGAGGTAGAGTCGGCGGTGGTCCTGCTGAATAAGATGGAGGACTTGTTGGACAAGGTAGGGAGATATCAACGGGAGTTGGTAGATCTCTGCGAGGGAGTGAAGGAGTGGGGGGCTAACCTCCCCAAGGTTTTCCTTTATGACTCTGGTCCGGAATCCATGCCAGGGCGGCCCGGAGTGACCACTGTGGGGACGGGCCCGCGATCAGGGATGATGACTAGGCCCCCTACCCCGCAAGCTAGGCTGGCTTAGGCAGCCCGCACTCGAAGTCAAGCCAAGGCAGGTGCGAGTCAAGAACCTCCTCGGAAGGAACCAGAACCAGAAAAGAGGAAGGAAACTGTGGAGGTAGAGGATGATGATGATGATGAAGGGGAAGATGACCGGTTACGTCAGGAAGAAGATCAAAGGGCCGAACAGCGAGCCAAAAAAAGAGAAAGCCGGGGAGAGGCTGAACCGGTTATGCGAGACGTACCACCAAAGAGGAAGAAGTATGCGGTCCGGCTAGAGGAAGGATTTGATGTAGAGCGAGTAATTGACAGGCTGCTTGAGGGCCATAATGATTTAATGACCTTCAAGGAGATCCTGGCTTCCGCGCCAAGGCTCCGAAATGAGTTGAAGGGTAGGCTGTCAAGGCGGCTGGTGCCAAATGTTCACCTCAGCGTAATCCTGCCCAAGGAGATGAAATGGGCAGAGCCAGGGACAAAAATGGATTGGAAGTGTGTGGCTTGTGGCGTGGTGGACCTAGCGGTGAAGGGCTCTAAGTGCACGGCCATGGTAGATACGGGGGCCGAAATGAACATTATCCGGGAAACCGACGCCATCAAGTTTGGGTTAGAGGTAGACCGTTCGGATTGTGGCATCCTGCACGGGGCCAATAACAAGGCCGTATTTTGTGGAACAACCTCGAATGTGCTACTGGAGATTGGCAGGGTGAAGGCGCGGGCCTGTTTTTTTGTGATGCCTGATGTGGACCACAAGATCCTCATGGGGAGGTCCTTCCTATGAAGGACAGAGACCTTGATGTATAATAAGCATGATGGGTCCTTGATCTTGATTTTATGTGATCCAGCATGCGGGAATTACGAAGTGATTACCTGCCGGAACACTGGGCCAAGGAGCCTCAGGAACAGGCCCAACCCTGACTCTTTCACGATTGAGGAGTCAGAAGATGCGCATTGGAGGCTTAGGGCAGAACCCGAGGAGGAAGAAGAAGGAGAAACCTTCTCGCTCAGCCTGTCGGATGTGGGAAAGGCCATGGATATAGTGGCCACGCACGAGATGGCCGATCCGGATGCCATTCAGGCGTTGAGGGAGCAGGTTCTGGAGTATCCCCAGGTAGGGGAAATGGAGTTGGTTTACCGGCTTCCCAAGGGGGGAATGGATCCGGCAGTGGCACAGGCACAGGCACGAGTGCCAAGTCAGCCTTTTTTAGGGGCCGGCTCAAGCAGGGTGTCCAAAGGCGGTACAAAACGATAGACAAAAAGTATCGCTCAGTTCCCATTCTGGTTACCGAGGACGAGGAGGTGTACTACGAACGGGAGCGAGCGTTGATACGGCGGATGAGGGAAAATGCGTCAGAAGGGCCATGTCGTGTCAATGAGTAAAACGAAGGGAAGTTGATAGTGGGAGAACCGGACTTCCTACTACCGCGGGAAAGAGCCCTGATGGTGGAGCTGATGAAGAAAAGACATCGCGCCTATGCGTTCAGCGACGAGGAGCGTAGCAGGTTGGATGTGGACAAGATTCCAATGATCCGCATCCATACCGTGCCGCACGAGCTATGGAATCTAAGAGGGGCGTGATACCCGGATCTGAACGAAGAGAAGAAGGTAGTGGACTACCTCGATGGCAAAATACGTACGCACGTCGCCGACTACTCGAGCGGACCCTACGCATCCCCGTGGTTTTGTTTTATTAAGCCCAATGGGACACTGAGGTGGGTACAGGACTTGCAGAGACTGAATGCGGTGACAGTGCGGGATGCAGGTGGGCTACCATATGCTGATGCGCTGTCGGAATCGTGCGCTGGGAGGCCGATAATTTCACTTATTGACCTCTATTCCGGATATGACCAATTTCCGGTCTACCCGCCGGACCGACCAGTGACAGCTATGCACACGCCTCGAGGGCTTATCCACATGAATGTGGCTCCGCGAGGGTGGACGAATGCGGTGGCAATGGTCCAAAGGAATATGATCCACACATCATGCAGACAATTAGTCCACACATCATGCAGCCATACATCGATGACCTCGCAGTGAAAGGGCCGCGAAAAAGGGAAGACGATGAGGTCCTACCTGGAGGAAGGCGGTTTGTTTGGAGGCACGTTCAGGACCTTGATAAAGTCTTGGGCTTGCTTGAGGAGTACAACCTTACGACCGACCAATGGGCCTAAGTCTAAGCACTGTATGAGGGAAGCGACTATCTTGGGGTTCGTCTGTAATGAGAACGGCCGGCGACCGGATGTTAAGAAGACGGATAAGATAGTTGAGTGGCCGGTGCCATTCCGTTCTGTAATAGATGTAAGGAGTTTCCTAGGTACGTGTGGGTTTTGAAGGTCCTTCGTCAAGAACTTTCGGCAAAAACAGAGCAATTAAGGAAGCAGGTCCGGCAGGATCAGGAGTGGACCTGGGGTGATGATCAGGAAGAGGTCGTGGCCAACATGAAAGAGGAGTTCCGGGAAGGAGGATTAGTGCTGGGAGCGCCCGATTATGACGCTACAGAGACGAGACCATTCATTGTGGAGACCGATGCAGGACCGACAGCCTTGGGTGAAGTTCTAATCCAAGCAGACGTCAAGGGGAAGGAGAGGCCGTTGCGCTTTGAGAGTCGCACGCTATGTACGTCAGAGAGAAACTACTCCCAATTCAAGAGGGAAACTCTCGCCGTCCTTCATTGTCTGCGGATTTTTCGAAACTACATCTTCGGCAGGAGGTTCATCTTGAGGTTAGACCCAACGGCTCTGGCTTTCTCCCTGAGGAATTATGTTCCATCCGATCCAACAGTTGCCAGGTGGTTGACGTACATCTGGATGTTCAACTTCGAGTTGGAACGGATCCCAGGGAACAAGAACAGGGCAGATGGGCCAAGTCGCATCAACTGGGATAGGCAGGACGGGGAAGCTGTAAAGGATACTCCCCCTGTTGATGGCTTTCTGGACGAGGACGAGGACATCCGCCTCGACATCAATAAGTGGTCCCCACGAGTCCCCAACTGCGTTGGCCATCCTATCTGGCACGCGCCTAAGGGGTATGAGCGGAAAGCTGAGTTGGTGCTCAAACCTTTCGAAGAGGAGGATCCTGGGGGTGGTAAGGACAGTGGATGACCAAGTTGGCACTCACAGGTAGCCATTGTATGGTGGATGAGGTACGGACAATAGAGGAGGGCCCGGACATGGTAAAACGTCACGAGGAAGTAATGGGAGGAATGTACCTCCTCGTCAACACGCTTCTGCAAGAGTCTCTTGATTTGGAAAACTCGCTAAATCCAGCCGAAGGAAGAGATACTGTGTTGGAGAGCCAGGATGACGAGTTTGAAGAGGAAGAGATCAAGGAGGCATTCCGCGCAGAGGAGTATGAAGGGATTTACCTAGAGCTGGGACTTCTCTTATCCTGCGAGATGCGTGATAGAGACGCAAGCCATAGGGCACAAATGATGAGGGATCGCTACCTAGTAAGGGACGGTCATCTCTTCGTAAGAAGGAAAGTAGAAAACCCCAGGCGGGTGGTATGTGGTCGCAACCGTCAGATCGACGTCATAGCAGCGCTCCACGATGGCATTGCAGGCGGACACCGGGGAATTACTGCCACATATGCCAAAATAAGTGAGCTATGCTACTGGGACGGGATGATGGAGATGGTTGGGAAATTCTGCCGTTCCTGTGTGTCGTGCCAGGAGCAGTCTCGTCTAAGGCCAGGAGAGTCACTGCATCCGAGGCTGGAGAGAGAGGTCGGGGCTGTAGTACACCTCGACTTATTGTTCATGCCCCTTGGAGATCATGGCTACAACTATATCTTCGATGCGCGCGACAACCTATCTGGCTTCGTAGATGGAAGGGCAATCCGTACGAAGACTGGGTCAGTTCTGGTCAGCTGCATCGAGGGGTATTACCTACGCTGCCCGTTCGTTAGGGAATTCGTAATGGACAGGGGGTCGGAGTTCACCTGTCAGGAGGTGCAAGAGTTGCTGTCAAGATATGGGGTAGTAGTTAACTACACCACGGCCGCCCACCCACAGGCAAATGCTTCGGTGGAAAGGGGTCATAGTACCATTACGACTCTACTAGCAAAATGGACCGAAGGTAAGCCCAACCAGTGGCCGAGGTATCTAAGGGCCGCCTTCTTCGTTGAGAACATCACAGTGAAAGGGACCACTAAGTACGCGCTGGCCACACTGTGGTATGGAAGACATGCTACCTTTCCAATCGAGAGCTTCCTAAAGACTTGGAGGCGTCAGGACTTGGAGGTAAATCTGTCGTTTGAAGAGCTGCTCGATATTCGAGCTCGGCAGGTGGGCATGATTGAGGAAAGGGTCCAAGAGGCATCCGACCAGGTAGAGAGGAGCCGTACGGACGATAAGGCTCGTTGGGACCAGTCAGCTCGTGTAAGAAAGGTACCCTTGGTAGTTGAGGACGTCGTGCTCTTGTATGATTCATCCCTGGAAAAACAATGGTCCAGGAAACTGGACAAGAGGTGGTTGGGTCCCTATCGGATCGTGCGATGCGGAGAGTTCGGCGCATACCAGATCGAGGAACTGAATGGAACAGAGTGGAAAGACTGGGTGTCAGGGACGAGGTTGAAGAAATTCGTGGCCAGAGAAGAGGACTGACTTGCAGCCATGCCAAGAGGAGGGAGGGGGACACGGCCACCGCGACGGCCGGCGGGAGCATCAGGAGGACATGGGCGGCATGGGCCTTATCGTCGAGCAAGCACTCCAGTATATAACAATGGGGATATCAAGTTATTCATGAACGAGTTTTGGGGCCACGCTGACCATATGGGGTGGACCGTGACCCAGACGATCGAGAGGCTGAGGGGAGTTGGCAGGTTTATGGAGCCCATCGCACAGATTCGCAGGGAGGTTTGAACGAGGTCGGAAGTGGAGGCGCGGATGCAGGAACTACGACCCTCGCCTGTGGGACCTGATGGCAGGCCTATTCGACTGGAGATTGGGAATGCAGATGACTTCATCCCAACATTCGAGCAATTCATGCAGGACCAGACAATACTGCGAAGTGAGTGGATGACGACGTTACCCCTGTGGACCCGAAAGGCGGAAAGACCTTTGGCCAGACGGATCAGGGATATGGCCCGAGATTGGGATGGTTGTACAGCGCACTTGAGGGCGGCATTCCGGCAGCCAGAACCACCTCGGCCTAGAGTCGAAAGGCGCCTCAGGAGCGGTAGGCAGAGGGAACCTGAGCCCGCTGAGGACCGAACCTCGCGAAGAGGACGGAAGGCGCTCGCTAGGCGAGAGGAGGAAACGGTACCTGAGGCAGAGGAGCGAGGAGAAGGCCCCGAGTGTGAATTGGGACCAGTAGAGTTCCATCGCTATCCTGGACCAGGACTGGGAGGATCTCCGCAACACACGCAGCGGGAGGTACCAGCGTCCGGAGGGTCATTGCAAGCATTAGAGGCACATCTGGACGCTGCCCAGTGGAGAGAGCCGCCGATGAGTGAGAGGCGCATTGAGGCCRTCGCGGAAGTACCACAAGAGGACGTTCCAGACCYTGAACAAGAGGAGAGGCCGAGTGCTACGAAAGKCCGGATTGGGGATGAGATCATAGACGTTGAGGAGGACACTCCCCCTCAGGGACCACCCGTGGGGCTGAGGCTCGGTAGTCCACCCGAGAGCCCGCCAGATACGAGGAAGGAAGTACAAAGGGGGGAAGTCTCACTCGTGGTACTCGAGACGGGCCTATCACCGACAGGAATGGAGGAAAGTGAGGCGGAGGGGGCCAGTTTGAGGAGGGAGGCAGACAATCTGATTGATAGCCATCTGGCCGCCCACGCCCTGGAGCAGCCTAATCTGGAAGAAGTTATACCTATGGAGTCACCCCGGGAACCAGGTCAGGCCGAGAGAGAGGTGGAAACGGGGATCTCAGGGGAAGTCGAACAATGCACGGTAGAGGAAGTACCAGCGAAAGAAACGGCTGAGGAAAAGCGGGCTAGAGTGTCAAGACGTTGGGAGGAAATCCGGCAGGAGGGGCAAAGATTGAAAGCAGCAGGGGTGCTCCCAAGTCCGCCACCACCCTATAAACCATATGGGCTCCGGGAGATGTGGGGAGAGTTTCTTGCTCGTCATGGCGAAGGGTTGACGACCCCAGGCAAGCCAGAGGTAGAAACCTCATAGAGAGCTGATGAGTATTTGGATCAGAGGATTCGCTCCGTATCCAAGACCTCCTTCAACAGGTATAGGATGTTGGAGGCGGATCTGAGAGGGAAGGAGCTGCAAGAAGCAGGGTTGGAGTCACGGTTGGGGACCCTTGAGGCAGAAGTCCGTGAGCTCAGGGCTCTGGTGACTAGCCAGGCCGCCACCATCCTGGAGATGAGGCAGCAACTTCATGGCAGCAAGGATGGGGCGGAAGGCAGCAGGCCAGGGGGGCAGAGTCAGCCAAGACATGGCGTATTGGAGCAACCAGCGGTGGCGGAGCCTCAGCAAGAGGCACCTATGGGAAGAGTCATTTTGGAGCCTGAGGAGGCAGTGGCCAAGAGGAAGGCTGAGAGGGAAGCCTTCAAATTCAGAGCCCCTACGGAGCTACCCACGATGGTTGCGGACCCTGCCATGCTACCGTCACTTGGGGAGAGACTGCCCTCGGTCAGTGATGAGCCTCCTCAAGGCTCGACAGGAGGATCCTTGGACGTGCTACTGGAAGCAGTCCACTCTATGCAGGAGGATGCTGGCTTGTTTTCACCAGAGTCCAAGTTGGAAGAGCCCCTGGAGAGCGAGATGGGAAGTGCAATAGAGGGCACCATCGCAGGTAGGCCCCAGAGGTTGGATACTCCTGACTATGAGCCAGAGGGAGCAAGGGCGCAACCAGGGCCCAGTCCGCGAGAGTCGGAGGCAGGATTTGAGAGACCTAAAGATATGCCTCAGTGCCATGAGTTGGACGGAGAGGCCAGGGAAACCCCATCGCCAGCAGGGCCCCAGCGGAAGAAGAAAAGGCCTAGGAAGTCTTTTGACTCGACCTGCTTCTATTGTACAAAAGAAGAGCACAGGGCATTGCAGTGCCTCAAACTCCTAAAGGACCAGGCAGACGGGAAGGTCTCGGAGTATGATGGAAAGATGTATGATAGGCAGGGTAGAGTGGTGGAACGAGCTGTAGATGGGGGTAGAGCTCAGTTGTACAGGCAGAACCAGGAGGAGATGAGTGAGTAGGGTCTGGTTCACCTGATTAAAAACTGAATATTTCTTTGATGATTTTGCTATTACTTAGGCAGGGTGGACACCTACGACGTTGAGTGTGTAGATGGGACCTACGGCATGGGATGGCCGCTGTAACTAGGATCATGTAAAATAAGGGGCGTACACTAGGTGGCAATAGAATAGTGAATTGTTTTGGGGGTCCCCTGTACAGATAACCATGTACTATATTCAGGGTACGGTGAGTTGTTTTGTGTGGGTTCGGAGACGAGGTTACCCTGTGGATTTTAGGATGAGATATCTCATCCCTGAGTGTATATCTGAGTTGAGTGAGGTTTAAGACTATCCTTTGTACATGACGACCACACTCACTCTCACATGTGTGGATTTATCCTGATGTATGGTGAATGTTGGATGTATGAACGACATCTTGAATGTTGTGCACCGTGCGAATGGAATGTATGTGAACTGCCTACTCTTCGGTATACTTGTGCGATCTGCCCGCGGGCAGGTAACGGGGCCAGGTATAAGGGGAGGGGGCGCAATCTGTCCTTGTGAAAGTATAAGAATCCCATGGATTTGTGAGTCCTTGAGACTCAGATGCTTGCCATGTCAAATGTATGTTGTTGAGTTGTGATGAGGACCCATAAGTTGATCCCTCAAGTTTGAGTTGTGCTATGGTATGGGTGCCTGTTTTTTTTAGGAGGCAACCCGCTGCATGCTGGGAGACCTATGGAGTGAGACCTCCCTCGTATGAAGGGTGGTTACCAGATCGGTGGCATGGTAAGCAAGGTTGGTATGATAAAGCCTGACGGGAAGGACCATGTTTTTTGCTTGGCCACTGTTGAGAGTTTGGAGAGCTCGCAAATAGTTTCTTTTGGGAGATGTCACTGGGATGCGTGGCTTCCTGCTCTGATCAAGTAAGGAAGTCACGGCCTTGTGCAACTGGCGGTGATTCTGTTTGTAAATGTGGAGAGGTTGCCATGATCCCCTGTGTTATCCCACGGAGGGCTGGTAAATACCTTTTATGTGTGACAAACCTCTGCGTAGTCCCGCGGTGCGCCTGTATTGTTGCGACCAATCGTCCAGCCACATGTGCTAATCCTGGAACATGTATGAGAATACCAAGCTAACGGTAGAATTTAGCATCACTAGGGCGCAACCCCTAGTGTCGGCTGCTGATCGGCACAACCTGACCAGCGGGCCTACATCGGGCCTAAGGAGTAAAAACTTAAAGGGGTGCGGCCACCTAGGAGGGTTTTACTCCTGCGGACCGGCGTGGGATAAATATCGAGTCGGGTCTTTTTTGAGTCCTGATTGAATGCTTATCAGGAGAAAGCCTATCGCGGCGCAACCTGCGAGGGCACTACCGCTGAACTAACAAGCGCGGTAGGCCGTAGGCCTGGCACGATCACCCAGACTACGGTGGGCCAAGATGGAGACCTAGCCTCCCTGTACTAGACTGCAGGAGGTGAGTTGAGGTGGTTTATATATATATATATATATATATATATATATATATATATATATATATATATATATATATATATATATATATATATTGATTGTGAGAATTGTTGGGGGAAGGCGAGAGTGCTTTCTAAGGTCTCGGTTAGAGCCCGCGTCCTAAGTCAAAGTCCTGCTCGCAGGATGGAGATCAAGGACACCCAACGAGAAGCCGGCGGTTGTCTAGGACAAGGGGGAGAGGACAGGTAAGAGGGGCCGCTGAGACTTATGCTGTAGTACATATGTCTAGTGCACCGGCGTCCTAGTGTCAGGACAATGGAGACCCAGGTTAGAACCCTGGCGGCATATAGTTACAAGGGTTTGGATTGTTGGAGGCCTCAACCCTGAGTCTGTCGGCTAATCGGATTGGTTCCTTTCTCGTCAGCATTTGGGGTTGTGGGTGAATTTGTAGCTTTTGATCTGGCGAAGCGACGGGGACGTCGCTTAATATGGTCCGGTAGGCTGTCGGCACGAATACCCTGACAAGGGTATCCGCCCTTGTTTTTGCAAAGTGACCGGAAGTACGAGTAGAGGCCTAAAAGTGTACTGCGCTAGACGCGCCTAAGTCTGTTGGTTGCGTAGGTAGGATGCTTGATTAGAGTAGGGGGTGTGTAGGCGCGCAGTTCAGAGGCGCGCGTGATGGTCATTTTTCCCTTGATGGTATAGGGTCGGTGTATCCGCCGACGACCTTTTGGCTTTGATTAAAGGCTAGGGAGGGTTGGCCTTTGGTGAATTGACCATGGCGCACCCGCGCTCATACGGCACGCGCCGTTGGAGGTGGATCTGTTAGGAAGCGGCACATTGGTACTGCTCGCGCGATGGTAGAAAAAGAAAAGAAAAAAATATACCCCTTCATACGACGAAGGCCGGTGCGTAGGCACCGTAGACGCGAGCGATGGCCTCCACGTGGCACTACGGGGGTTACAGACGTGGCGTACCGAACGAAATTCGGCCCCTAACCGCAGGCGCATGCGTATAGGGCCGTGGGTTGGAATCGGAAGTCAAGTGGTTGTCTTAACGCTGCTGCCATAGGCCCAGGCTGGCCACGGTTACCACCCATATACAGGTTAGCGCCTAGCCTATCCAGGCTGGGGCTTAGCCCTATAGGTTACGTCGTTGAACTACCACCAGGTGGATTTTGGGATCGAGGCCAGAGCGGAGCGGCGGAGCGGCGGAGCGGCGCAGGAGTGAACCGAGGGGTTGAGGGTCTTGCGGGACTATCCCCTTTGGTTTTTGCTGGGGGAGTCCAGCGGCGGGCCCGTGGGGTAGGACCAGGCATGAACGGTCTCCCCCCCCGTCCGGTTTTCGTTATTTTATTACTTTTATCCTTTTTCTGAGCTTTAAATACTTTTACTTTTATTTTTATTTTTTTATTTATTTTTTCTCTACTTCTACCTTTTGTTCTTTTTTTCCTTTTCTTTTTTTATTTTAGACCGGTGTCGATGCCGGGACCTGCAGCGAGCCCACCGGCCTGGCTCCATCACGAACTACCGTCAGGGTACCGGTCCTTCGGAACATCTGTTAGGACTGGAACGATACAGAGAAGACTAGCATGGCACCTACGTAGGAAGGATACGGTAAGTATAAAGTCGGGGGGGAGGAGGTAGCCCGACACTTTGCTGTGTCATGGTGTATGATGGGCTGTTGTTGCTGCTCACCCTTCCTGGCCGAACTGATCGCCTGGCGCAGCACAACGGGGAGCGGCCCGGCGCTGCTATTCTCATAGTGGCGTGGGGGAGCTGTCGATGTTGCGTACTTCTCCCGGCCAGTCTGGTCACTAGAGTGCTGCAGTAGGGAGGTCGATAGGAGGAAGACGATGGCGGATCGGACTGGATAACGGAGGAAAAGAGGAGTAAAGGCCCGAATGAGAAACGAGGGGGGGGGGCTGCTGAACGGGGGAATGAACCGGGACTGGCATGGGTGCTGAGTACATTCAGAATTGAAGGAATGGAGAAGAGGTTATGGCGGGGAAGGAGAGTATGGGGAGTGGAGCCAACTGAATCCGGACAATGAGCAGCGGTGTGTTAAGTCGAAATAAAGATAAATAATAATAATAGTAAGCGTGGTATGGTGGTATGGGAGTAGAGTAGGAGGAGGTATAGCCAAAGAGCGCAGCACCACGTAAGAGGCAGCGGCAGTAACAACAGGAAATGAGGTGAGTGAACCTGGATGCGGTTTCGCACCAGGTACATCCGAAGGAAGGGGGAAGAGGTAATGTCGGGGCTGGAGACTATGGTGGAAGGAGAATCCGTAGCACGGTCGTTTCCTAACAAGACTCGATGAGGGGAGGTGATAACCTGTGGTTTTGAAGGCTGGCGAACACAAATCTGCAGTCAGAAAGGGAGGAAAGTTAGTAGGAGGGGGAAGAGGAAAGAAAAATGGTGTGCGGAGATGCCGTGAAACACCTATGGTAGGAGTGGAAGTCGACGGACCTCGGCCGTTTTTTGGCCGTTTTGGGCGCATGAAGATGCTAAACTGGGGTTTCAGGGCGCTCCGGATCTAATGGTAGTGTCGGAAATTGGATCAGATGGGCAGTTTGGCCGGTATGGATGTTAATAGCTGCGCGGTCACTAATAAGGGGGAGGGAGGAGCGTGATCGTTTGGGAGAGGCGAGAGCGTGAAGGAGGCAATATAACCACCTGCTCGAAGTCAGCAAGAGTTGTGGGGTAAGAAGTGAGGCATCTGGCCATGTTTGAGGGTAGATCCACCTTTTTTTTTCCTCCTCGGTCCGCCCTTGATAATAGTGCTGTCTRCGCCACCACCGCCTCACCGTCATGTTCATCACCRTGYYGTCATCATATATATCATTGATTAGGTGTCGGGATCCYTGCTGATCAATCTCGGTAGCCAGGACCTCGRCTCAGTGGGATACTTGCCCGCTGTTATCGGGCTACTATTGAATACACCAAGCTTCTCTCRTGCCTAGATATCGTCATTGGGAAGGGACTGCTAATCCAGGCGGGYTRATCCTCCACAARCACGAAACGGAGTATGTGAACSTGGCCGAGTCCTTGGCTAGGCACATCYGGCAGAGAGGAAGGAAGTTCTGTTTTTTTGYGAGTCCACATTTTTCTAGGCTCTGGCATGGGGTTTGGTTCTCAGAGTGGGCGCAGTAGTGGACGAGCCAAGCTGGGGCGGCAGTGACTGTTTTTTTTTTTTTTTTTTTTTTTT